CCGGTCGTCACTGGTCTCCTCTTGGACATTGAGCTGTTGACCGCAACTCTTTTGAGTGCGGCCATCCAGCCAATTCCTTATCCACCGAGTGCTCCATCTGTCAAATCCACATCTCTCCAATTTAGAGACAAGGAAGTCGTGCGAGACAGTGTGAAATGCGTTGCACGAGTCCAAGTAGATGACATCAGTTGTTCTTCCCTTATCCACAAACACTGTATGTTTCCCCTTTTCCAGTCAGTGGGAACTTCAATCGACTGCTGCCACTTCTCAAGTATGATGGATACCAATTTTTACTCACAGACACACAGGTCCTACCAGTAGCTGAGAAAAGATTTAATAAGAAGATACAAGATGATGGGACAGACTGTAGAGATGAGGCGCAGGGCTCAGCCAGACAAGTGCATGGACTGACCCTGTCTTACATGTGACCAGCCTATTTTATACCCTTTTCTGTCTACCTTCCCTTTATTCCTCCCTGTTTCCCCTTCACTGGGTCACTGATTGACAGAGTTTGGTTTACTTCACTGTCTGCCTTATCATTTGTCCGTCACATTTGTGTCCCTGTAAGCTCTTTTTCATCACTTCCTTCCTTATCGTACCTTGCTGCACTGGACAAGGTCCTTGACCAGGTACCCCTAAAGGAGCAGACACTGCCCTTCCACATATCCTTATGAAGGTGTTCAGTTTTTTCACCATACAGGCTACGCCTACACTGCCTTTGCTAGCTTTGTTTAATGGCCCATGACTACTCACTGTGTTGGGGGGAGAAATTCACACTGTCCAAACGAGAACCAAAGTGTCAGGGGGTGTGGGATGGGGTCCCATGTCTTCAGACTCCACGCCAGCAGGACACCACAAACAGGAGCTTTGGGAGTATATGTTTCAGCTGAAGACATTTTTATAGAAGCACAAACTGTTTACACAACACAGAAGTAAAAGTGGAAAATGGTTTGTATGAGGGAGTGGCTTAACTGCAAAATGTCGGGTGACTCAGTTTACTCTTAAATTTTCTGCAACTGTATGAGCATCCTACCTCTTGCCCACTCCCCTCTCCAGTGAGGAGAAAAACAAAGGGAATTGAATAGACTCGTGGATCAAGGTAACGACAGTTTAATAAGGAGAGCAAAAGCCGTACACACAAGTGAACAAGGAATTAATTCACTACTTCCCGTTGTCAGGCACATGTCCAGCCAATTCCTAGAAAGCTGGGGCTCAGCAGGCCTAACTGTTGCTTGTGAAGACAAACACGTTAACCATGAACATGTCTCCTTCCTCCTCCATTCCCTGCATCATATGGTATGCAATATCCCATTGGCATTTTGGGTCAGGTGTCCCGGATCTTTCCCCCAAAGCCCCTTCCGTACCCCCACCCTGCTGATCCTTGGATGTGGTGGGACTAGAGAGAAAGTACTGTTCAGGAAGAGCCAAACTGTTGGTGTTTGAGCCACAAATGCAAAGCACACACCATACAGGCTGCTATGAAGAAAGTTGACTTCATTCCAGCCAGACACACAGCACCATCTCCACCACTTACTCCATACCATCTGCATCATGCTCAGGTCCAACATTTAGCTGATACATTCAAGTATGTTCTGCCCATCCCATTCACACATTGCTTCATTTCTACAGCCTAGTCAAACCTTTTCGCTTACCTAACCCACACTGCATTAAAATCTTTCATCTTTCTAGCACATACCTTCCTTTTTATTTCCCATTTTATCCGTTTCTTATTCTTCAAGTCCCCTCTTACCAACACTCGTAACTTACACTACTGTGGTGGGTGGACCTTGGACTGTAGCAGCCAGACTCCCAACCAGCCGTTCTCTCATGCCCCCTCCTTGACAAGACAGGACAGGACAGGAGGAAAAAATAAGATGGAAAAGCTCTTAAGAACTGGAAGATAATTGACTGATTACCATCATGGGCAAAACAGGCTGATTGGGGAGAATTAATTTAATTTATTGCCAGTTAAAATAGAATGGATGGTAGGAAACAAAGACAAAACTAAAACACCTCCCCCCCCTCCCACCCCTCCTTCCCTCCCCGGCTCAACCTCACTCCTTCATTCCCAAATCTTCTACCTCCTCCTATCCCCAAGCTGCACAGGGGGTATGAGAAATGGGTAGTTGTGGTCAGTTCCTAACAGTTTGTCTCTGTTGCTCCTTCTTCCTCACGCTTTTCCCCTGGTCCAGTGTCAGTCCTCTCTGCTGTCCTGCAGATAAAGTCTGCTGTCCTGCAGATAAAGACTGCAGTCCTTCAGGATAAACCTTTCCATGAGCTGCTGTTCCCCACTGCCAAAACCTCGCCACATAAGCCCAATATGTAAGGAATTGTACAGTTGCCCTTTTGTGTTTGTAGTAGAGGGCCTTCTGGACTAAGAGACAGTGATGTAAATTAGGTAATAATCAGAAATATTGGAAGAGAAAATGCTGCTCAGACATGAGCAAGACCAGAATTGGGGTTGAAGTTAGATCAAAATAAGCAGAGAGGAAATAAAACAGGTCACATTTCACTTTAACGAACAATCCATCTGGCAAGCCAGAAAAAGTATCAGACAGAAAGTATCAGCTTCAATGAGTCAAGAAAACATTTCCTCCCTTAGCTTGCTTTCAGCCTACATGAGAAGGGAATTAATTAATATAAAACTACTGCAGCTAGCTGGCAGTGTTTCAGTTTACCCTTTCTGGTTTGAATTGAGCAAGTTACTAGCTAGTTTTGGAAAGAGATCTTTGTTCTGAGAGGAAAAAAAATCAGGTCAAGTCTAGACTTGAACCCAGTCCCTCCCATCAGTAGGAAAGGCTCTCCCAGCAGACACAGCTCCTCCCCTTCAATTGTAAGGTACTAACTTGTTTCTTAACTTGTTATTGAGGAGGTTTTTTTTGGGGGGGAGGGAAGAGTTCCAGGCTATCACTTTTCTTTTGATGGAGGAGGAAAACAACCTTTTTTTTTTTTTCCCAAACTACAGACATTTTGTACTTACGGAGATAAAGGTAGACTGATCGAGGGGATAGGAATTTTATAATCTACTTCTGTAACATTCCTACACTGAGTCAGGTTTACTTACTTGTTTGCAAGGCCAGATGTGCAACCACAACAATATATTCTAATACGCCAAATAAAACAGGCCAGATATGTTAGGATTGCTAAAATAGCACAAATAATTTCGAAAGCCATTACACTTCATTCATAAATTCCATTTTTTTTTTACTAGGGAAACACTTATGTTCTGTGCAGCTACAAAGAATCCATCAGTTGGATGGAGAAAAAACAGCCATCTGTTTCCTAAGTAAGCACTTGTCAATGCATCTCCTCAGGCTTTTGTTGATTCCTGATTCCTCAAGCTGCAGATGATCGTGTTGAGCGTGGAGGTGACTACTGTGTAAGGTAGGGAAACCATTTTCTTCATGTTGGATGAGAGGCTGGACTTGGGTCGTAGGTGAATGATGCCGGTGGTGCTGTAGAAAAGAGTGACTACCACCAGGTGAGCTGCACAAGTGGAAAAGGCTCACCTCTGGCCCACAACCAAGGGTATCTGAAGAACAGCATGGATAATGTGAAGGTAAGAGATGTCTATCAGAGAAAAGGGAATCATCACTATTATGACAATAGCAATAAAACCCAATAGTTCAAACAAGTCTGTGTCTGCACACAGCAGGTTCAACACAGGAGAAACATCACAAAAGAAATTATCAGCTGCATTCCTCCCACAGAAGGGCAGGGTAAATAACTATGTGGTGTAGCTCAGAGCCACAGGGACACCAGACAGCCAAGACCAAATAGCTATCTTGAAGCAGCAATCCCTGTTCATCATGGTGGCATAATGCAATGGATGGCATACTGCCACTTATGACTTGCCGGTCATAAGCTATTGCATGTAAGAGGAAACACAGCTGATGAAAAGAATAACACAGTTCAGCTGCACGGTGCAAGATATGAAGGAAACAATTTTTCTCTCCCCCAGCAGAATCACAAGCATCTTGGGACAATGCTCACACTGTAGCAGATCTCTGTAAAGGCAAGATTCTTTAGGAAGTAGTACATGGACTTGTGTAGGACAGGGTCAATGGTTGTGATTGCAACAATTAGAGAGTTCCCTATCAAGATGGCCAGAAACATGACAGAAATCACCATGAAAAATAGGAGCTGCATCTTACTATGGAAGGCAAATCCTAAAAGTAAGAAATGAGTGGTGATGGTTTGGTTTCCTGGCTTCATTTCCTCAACAGGTTCCATCCTAAAAGACCAAAAAAAACCCCTGCACTGCAAAAGGATTAGAAGCTTGTGACAAAATTGTGGTCTCAGAAATAGTTACAGTTGTTAAGTAAAATGGGGTTTAAAACATGAGATGAAGCTTGTATTGGATATGACAGTAACCCCAGTGTAAAAAAATCTTAGCTGGGAAACCTATACAAGATCATCTTTGAGAGTCACAGGCTGGGCTTCATCTTCTGTGAATTAGGTGAATAGAAGATAGACAGACAGATTTCAAATAATTGTTCTGCATTTATTTTATATAGAAAGAAATGGATATGTCCAAAGGGTAAGTCACCTTAGTGTAAGAGGGGTGTCTATGATGAGACAGGAGAATTTCACTTTGGATGGGCTGGATGTCTCTCAGTTAACTTTGGCATCTAAATGTCTATAGACATCTACAAGTGAGCCAGTCACCTTAGAATCACTTTATATTTAGTGATGACAAATATAGCACAAGAAAGAAGCACAATTTCTTTCCTTCTGAAATGGATGTCCAAGGATACCAGGATTTGCTGTATCATTAATAATGAAGTGAGTATACGATGATCAAATTTTTGGATAGCTGGAATTAATTGGAATTCGTTTCATTATTGGTGCTCTAAGCTAGGTGACATGGAGGTCCTGTAGCTTTCCACCTACTGGTTTGACTCAAGCAGAAGTGATCTACATACATTATTTTCACTGTAACCCTGCACAAGTACAATCCAAACCTAAACAAGTTTAAATTAATAAAAGTGTTCATGCATTTACGGTCATTTCATCAAGTCATGTGAAATCCATATTCTGAGTTTTCATTTAAGATAAACTCTGGGGAGTAACAAGATGCAGCATACAAACAGCTGCCCACATAAAAGTGATCGCCAGCATCTACACCTTGTTATATTTTTCTGGGAATTTATCATCTCATTTGGTCTGCTAACAGAGTTATTTGTCTGGGAAACTTCCTGGGCTGTTTCAGCCAAAAAATACTTGGCTGATTTTTGAAAGACACATAAAGACAATAATAGAATAATTGTTTTCCCCCCTGTATTTACACCATTGAGATTGAGATTGAGATAATGCGGCCCACAAGATCTGGAGTTTAGTTTTACTCTAAGGGATCAAAGGGTTAAGATTTTCTCTTCAAAATTCACATGCACAGGATGAGAATATATGCATATATATATGTGCATATAGGAAAATTCCAAACTAATAATGAGAAATAAGTTGCTTAGACTCCCATGAAGATATCTGTATGTCCAGTGGGATTTTGGCTTCCATCCACAGATGAAGGAACACTCTTGCTACTCACACAGCAGTCAAACTGTATCACTAATAACAGCAAAGTAGCTTAAGATTTTGGAGTGTTTGGGTTTTCCTGAGTTCTAAAAATTCCTTTTTCTTTTCCTTAGCAAGGATGAAAGAGGAAATGAGGAGATGAGAAAGTATAGACACTGTGATTCATTTGTTCAACATATATATCAGCAAAATAGGCAGCTACAGTTGCCAAAGTTTTCTATAGACAACAGAAACAAGCAAGCATACTGTCAGTATGATTAATGTTTCTCCACATCTAAAATAATGCAAAATGCTGATGCCACGGAGGTTCTTATTTCTGTCGAATGAATGAGTAATTCAGATATAAAAATCTGCATTGTCGGTGCCTAAATATAGATGGAATAGATTTCTCTTGTATATCTAATTGGAGCCCTAGGCTCCAGTTAGAAAATAAACCACGGAAACACACTTATGTTTTGGTTTTGCCTTAGGAACCAACTGAGAATGAGGAATAGAAATTGAAATATTACCTTATGATATTAAAACTGGTAGTTTTCTCTCACTCTTCAGTAGGGTCAATAATTCCAAAGGCAGAGAGGAACAGAAATTATGAATAGAGAGAAAAAAAGAAAAGAAAAATCCCTTTGTTTTCCTCCGTAGGAGGCAGCATGTCCTCTCTGGTTCCAAAGGCTCCTACAGCTAATGGGTGGAAGTATCTGAATTTTCATGTGCTCCCAGCAGAATCACGTCTCCAGACAGCAACATTCTGGTGTGATTAAATCGTATGTAAAATGGTCTCTTTTTATGCATAATCTATATAAATATGCAGTATATTTTAGAACATAATAGCTGTCTAAGTATAGTATAAGCAAAGATTCATTCCACATACGATGTATACTCGTACATATAATTGTTAACATAATAATAGGATATTCTCTTATTCTTTTTCTTATCTAGCTTATTAATAGTAGGGAAAAAAAAAATAATTTGACATATGTTGGTTTCCCAGTAGCTGAAGAGAATTTCAAGAGACAATAAAAAATACTTGATTAGCAGTGGCGTTATGAATACAGAGCATTTGCAGTATGATACCAATGTATTACATAGCCCTAAATAATGGTAAGAAATAGTACAATGACAGCTTATCTTATAGACCTTTTTTTTAAAAAAAAAAAACCTATTTTTGTCTACTTTATTCTGGAAATGGTAGATTTCTTTTGGTAAATGTCTGCTGGTCATCTGAAGTTCTCTCCATGCTGGTGTGGTAACTCAGTGTGAGACACAGGTGAAAAATTAAGTGATGTGAATTCAAGACTGAAGTATTTAACACTTAATTCCAGCAGTGTCAAGGTTTATATCCTGAAAAATCTAGAAAGACAAGTCAAACAAGTGGAACAAAAAGAAAGCTGTTGTACCAGTGCATCACAGTTGGGATGGCACAGAGCAGTCATTGACATTCTCCTGTTGCAAAAAGTTTGACTTGAGTCCAGGCTCCCTGACTGTACACCACGCAGATGTTATCCTACCTCTGGTCTGCCTTGATTTACGTGGCTTTCTCATTTGTGTGCATTGTCTCATTCGCTCATTTGTGTGAATGCTAGTATCTTTAGCCAGGTGTAGTGACCTGGCTTTGGCCAGCTGCCAAGCTCCCACCCAGATGCTCTCTCACTCCACCTCCTCAACAGGGCAGGACAGGGAGAGAAAGTAAGATGAAAAACTTGAGGGTCAGGTTAAAGACAGTGAGATCATATACCAATTACCATCATGGATGAAACAGACTGGACTTAGGAAAATTTAACTTATTGCCAAGTAGAATAGATTGGATGGTGAGAAACAAAGACAAAACCTGAAACATCTTCCCCCCCACCTTCCCCTTTTTCCTGGGCTTGACTTCATTTCTTCATGATAGCTTTATCAATAATCTGGATGAGGGGATCAAGTGCACCCTCAATAAGTTTGCAGGTGACACCAAGTTGGGCAAGAGTGTTGATCTGCTTGAGGGTAGGAAGGTTCTATAGAGGGATTTGGACAGGCTGAATTGATAGGCCGATTACAATTGTATGAGGTTCAACAAGGCCAAGTGCCAGGTCCTGCACTTGGGTCACAAGAACCCCACGCAGCGCTACAGGCTTGGGGAAGAGCGACTGGAAAGCTGCCTGGCGGAAAAGGACCTGGGGGTGCTGGTCAGCAGCCAGCTGAGTATGAGCCAGCAGTGTGCCCAGGTGGCCAAGGCAGCCAATAGCATCCCGGCCTGTGTCAGAAACAGTGTGGCCAGCAGGAGTAGAGAAGTCGTCATCCTCCTGTACATGACACTGGTGAGGCTGGACCTCAAATACTATGTGTTCTGTTTTGGGTCCCTCATTCCAAGAAAAATGTCAAGGTGCTGGAGTGTGTCCAAAGATCAATGAAGCTGGTGAAGGGTTTAGTGCACAAGTCTTATGAGGAGCAGCTGAGGGAAGTGGGGTTGTTTAGTCTGGAGAAAAAGAGGCTGAGGGGAGACCTTATCGCTCTCTACAACTACCTGAAAGGAGCCTGTAGTGAGGTGGGGGTCGATCTTTTCTTCCAAGTAACAAGTGAAAGGACAAGAGCAAATGGCCTCAAGTTGCTCCAGGGGAGGTTTAGATTGGATATTAGGAAAAATTTATTTACTGAAAAGTTTATCAAGCATTGGAACAGGCTACCCAGGGAAGATCTTATCATGCTTATGCCTCACCATCCCTGGAGGTATTTAAAAGATGTGTAGATGTGGCACTTAGGGACATGGTTTAGTGGTGGACTTGGTAGTGCTAGGTTAACAGTTGGACTTGATGATTTTAAAGGTCCTTTCCAACATAAATGATTCTATGATTCTATGATTCATTCCCAAATCATCTACCTTCTCCCTCTCTGAGCGGTGGACGGTTGTGGTCAGTTCATTACAGTTTGCCTTTGCTGCTCCTTTTTCCTCACACTTTTCCCCTGCTCCAGTGTGTATCCTCTTTGGGGGCTGCAGTCCTTGAGGATAACCCTGCTCCAGCATGGGCTGTCCCCATGCTGCAGTTCTTTTGGGGAACAATCCACTTTGGGGGCTGAGGTCAGGCAGAATTGTCTCTGACATGTTGGGGTCTACAGCTGTGTGCCTGGACATACATATGCTCAGCTCATCCAGCTCTCACTTATGATGTTGCTGAGCCTGAAAAAGCTTGCTTCCACCCTAATAAATGCACAAGCTATATTACTGTAAGCATAACCCTAAAATTAATTTTGACATGCTCTAGGTCTAAGTGCAACTGGTTGTTACAGTTTTTGCTCATTTGTCAAAATAAACCAAACCCAGACCTTCCAGATTCCTTTCATATAGAGATGATTTTGGTTTCTTTTGCCACAGCTGTGAACAGTTGCTCCATCATCATCCCCGAGCCTCAAGGGCTCCTAGCCTCTGCTTGTTGCTTCAGAACGTTCCTCCAGTGTGTGCTGCGTGTGTATGCATGCATGTGTGTGGGTGGGGATTTTTTGATCAACCACATGGGTATATTCCCTAAAGAGTCTGGCTGGCAGTTTGCATGATAAAATTGCATGAGATAATTAAGAATTATTATTTTTC